TGATGCGTCGTCGGCGAGTCCAGTACCGTACCATTGTCCACCTCTTCTTCGTCCACGCCGAGATAGCGCGCGAGCACGTGGCTCGGAGAACTCGACGCGTTTGCGCCGTGTAGTGTCGCGCCAAAGATGCTCATTCGAGCTAATGAAGCCATGTGCGTAAAGCAGAGCGCCATCTTCATCGCACTCGGCGTCTTTGGGCGCGCCTCATGCCTTCCTTGGTTCCCGCCCACGCTGCCTTGACCGATTTCGCCGCCACGACCTCCACCACGATTGCCACCGCCATGCCAAAGACGGTTTCCACCTCCACCGCCGACTCTGCATCTTCACGACGCGGTCTGGGGACACTCACGTGCTTGATGGCCCTCACGGTTGCGATTGAGGCGAGTGTTGGGGCCGAAGCGACGCGCCGGCAACATTGCCATCTCCTCGTCGCCACCACGTCCACCGCCTGCGCCTCGTCCTCGTCCACCACCGCGGCTACGTCCACCGCCACCGCTGGTTGGTTCCTCAAAACCGAACCACCGGCATCATCTCCCTTCTTCTCCTTCCTCCAGCGCGCTCTCCACTGCTCCTCGGTGTACAGCAGCTTGCCGTTGATGGCCACCGCCTTGAGCCTTCCAGTCACCTCCTCAAGAGTGAGCGCCTCAAAGTCGAGGAACTGCTCAATGGCGACAACAATCTGCGCGTACTTGGCTGGCACCGTGCGCAGAAACTTCTCCACCACACGCTCCTCTGTGATGTCCTTGTCACCATGAATGACAAGCTGCTGGTGCAGAGTTGACAGACGCAGGGCGAAATCCTCCACTTGCTCGCCGGGGTTGACGCCGATGTTCTCCCAATCGCGGCGTAGGCGCTGCGGCGTTGCTCGACGGACCCGGTCCACGCCGATGCGAGTCGCAGCGATGGCGTCCCACGCCTCCTTCGTCGTAGCCTTGTCGAGGAGTGGGATGCCCATCTCCTTGGGCACGGCCCCGACAATCACCTCGATTGCCGCGCTGTCATCATGGCGCGGGCAGGCCGCCTCGATGGCGCCCCGAGAGATTGCGCGCTGCATCCTCGGCTTCATGGTGCGACTCCACTCGTAGTAGTTCGACTTGTCCAAAGATCGGCCACGATGTGTCGCTCACCGAGTCGCGGTACACCACTACTGTCGTGCGGTGATTCAGAAGCGACCGCCGCCATGCGGCGCGCCTCCCGGTCAGATGGTGGATCGCGGCGCCTCCTCGCTCTCGACGGAGTCCGCAGCCCCGATTCTCGCTCTCCGCCTCCTCTTCCTCCTCTGCATCCTCTTCTTCTCCCTTCTCGGTGACAATTTCGGCCCTGACTCTGCGCTCCCGTCCTTCTTGCCGCCGCTTCTTCTTTCTTTGCTGGTGGCCCGGTGCTGCACTTGCTTCCTCTCGACCTTCAGCCTGCTGCGGCCCGGCCGGGAGGAGTTGCCCAGCTCTCCATCGCCGGTTCCCTTGGCCTTGAGCCGGCAAGGCCTTTCAGCGGAGGTCGACATGGGGTGGAGAAGGTGAGGAGTTGGCCTCGTGGCTCTACGGTGTCTAACCTATCTACGATACCAAATGTTGGAGGTAACACAGACTTGATTAGCACGAAAAGCCACAAACCCGGCCGTCTCCTTGATTATATATAGAGATAGACATTGCATTGATTACAAACGACTCACTAGAGCATAGCTAATCGAGATAGGTGCCTTGGCAGCCGTACACACCTCTTGGGCTGTCCAAGGTCTTTAATGACTGTAATTAACTAGCATAGTTATCTAGGAAGTGCTTAGGAAGCAGGGCTTATTAACTACAATCTGGAGACTATCCTCATCAGGACAGTACACAGCGCAATCGGCCTATGAGGCTCAATGTCAAGGGGCTATCCATTTTGAGCCATATGCACGCATTTGGAAAACTTGGGCACCTCCCAAATGTCGATTCTTTATGTGGCTGATTGCCCACAATCGATGTTGAACTGCAGATAGGTTGGCTCGGAGAGGTCTCCCGCATCCTGCTAGATGCCCGCTTTGCGACCAAGAAGAAGAGAACATTCAGCACCTCCTCATTGGGTGTGTCTTCACTAGGCGCCTGTACTCCATCTTGCATTATGCAGCCCTCTCAGTCCTCGCCCCACAGCCATCTGATACAGCCCTGAATGACTGGTGGAGGAAAGTGGAGCATTGTGTGGACAGTGAGGTGCGCAAAGGACTGAACTCGATTATCATCCTGGGAGCCTGGACTATCTGGAGACACCGAAATGATTGTGTGTTCAATGGAGCTTCACCCAGGTTGGGTACAGCCCTGGTTTTGGCCAAGGAGGAGGCCCTTTTTGTGGAGATTGGCACAAGCCAAGGGTCTCCCCCCGCCAGATATCAGAGGGGTGGGTTAGGCTTAGTTTTTGGACTCCTATAATGGTCGCCTTTCTATCTGTAAAGGGTGATTAGATTCCAGAGGATCTATTGTGGGTGTGTGTGGGTGTGAGTCTATGTATGACTCTTTCTTTTACTACTATTAATACAATGATACGCAGCTCTCCTGCGTGTTCGAGAGAAAAAAAAATTACTCCCTCCATTTTTGTACATTTCACAAGCTTCACCAAAATGCTGTTTGCAAATACTTTTCAAAGCACAGTTTTCAATACACATTTCCATATTTGCCCCTGCAGGCCTAGCCCAACCCAGCACCTTGAAAGATTAAGCCTAGTGTTCTTGATATTTTGGAGCTCCATGTTTAGGATAAGTAGTACTCCCTCCATCCCAAATTATAAGTCATTCCAAGAATCTTGGAGAGTCAAAGCATCTCAAGTTTAACCAAATTTATATGATATACGATAATAACATTTATGATACTAACTAAGTATCGTTAGGTTCTTCATGTATATCTATTTAATGTCATAAATCTTTGTAATTCTTTATATAATTTTGGTCAAACTTGAGATGCTTTGACTCTCCAAGATTCTTGGAATGGCTTATAATTTGGGATGAAGGGAGTAGTAGTTAGTGCCTATGTCATGGCATCTTATCTTTACTTTAGCATCTTATCTCTACTTTAGTTGTTGCAAGTTTGTTTTACTTCCTAGCTGTAAAAGCAAACCTCTGGTTCTATATATGAACCAAGAAGCAGCCATGGTTATGGTGGCTAAGTAATAAAGAAAATTCCCAAATACCTGTGTCCTTGCCAACAATTGGTACCAACCTCGACAGTGGCGCTACACACCACATGACAAGGCGGCGGGAGATCTTCTCCGACCTAGACTGCGGCGTGCGCGGCTGTCAAGTTTGGAGACGCCTCCACCGTTGAGATCCAAAGTGTCGGCAGCCTGCGCTATCTCGTCCACACCCGACCAGACTTGGTGTTCGCCGTCGGCTACATCAGCCGGTTCATGCAGTGGCCGACAGTGGAGCATCAGCAGGACATCAAAAGGATCCTATGCTACATCGCAGGTACGCTCGACTACGGTTTGCACTACCCAAGGTGTCCCGGCGCGGCGCATTTCATCGGCTACAGCGACAGCGACCACGATGGCGACATCAACACGAGCAAGAGCACAAGCGGCTCTGTGTTCTTCCTTGGCAAATGCTTGATCAGCTGGCAATCGGTCAAGCAGCAGGTGGTGGCAATGTCCAACTGTGAAGCAGAGTACATCGCCGCCACCTCCACCGCCACTCAAGCGCTCTGGCTGGCTCGGCTGCTGGGTGATCTACTTGGCAAAGACGCCGAGGCAGTCAAGCTCCGAGTGGACAGCAAGTCTGCCCCGTCTTCCATGAGCGCAGCAAGCACATCAAGGTCAAGTACCATTTCATCAGGGGCTGCTTGGATGAAGAGAGTGCCAGGGCCAACTACATCAACACCCAGGATCAACTTGCGGACTTCCTAACCAAGTCACTTGGACGGGTCAAGTTCCAGGAGCTTCGCGCCAGAATTGGGATGGTTCAAATCACTCCAAAGACACCACACAAGGCTTAGGGGGAGAATTGAAAGATTTGATATTTTGGGGCTCCATGTTTAGGATAAGTAGTAGTAGTTAGTGCCTATGTCATGGCATATTATCTTTACTTTAGCATCTTATCTCTACTTAGTTGTTGCAAGTTTGTTTTACTTTCTAGCTGTAAAAGCAGACCTCTGGTTCTCTATATGAACAAGCAAGAAACTACATAGTAATCAAGATCAATAGAGAGACAAATAAGATAGTTGATAGCCTTGCTAAAAAGGCAAGACGAGCAAGCCTCCCAAATTCATGTCTTTTTTCTTGCCAGGCACTTGCTCATCATCCAACTTGTAATATCAAGCATGTGCTAGAAAACAATGATTGGGGTAACAAGATCCCCATATCTGTAACATGTTTATGATGCAATGAAGGTTTAACTAAAAAAAAACAGCAGCCATGGTTATGGTGGCTAAGTAATACAGAAAATTCCCAAATACCCTGTCCTGTGTCTTTGCCAACACACCTCACCAACCAACATCATTGGAAAATTGACTTCCTAGTATTGGCAGTGGCATGTTTTTTTCTTGAACATGCCGGAGAGCTGCATATCCTTAAATTAAGAAGAAAAAAGTAGAGAAGCCGTTACAAAACACACACCAATACCCCCACCTCACTCAAACAACTAGATCGCCAATATTATTACATGACCACTTCCTAGTACTGTGGTGGCATGTTCTCAGCCAGGAAATTGAACTTCTCATGATGCACTGCCTATTATAGAATGTGTTTTATGTGCTGTACAAAAGGGAGCAATTTGATCATAATGTTAAAAAAAATATTTGCCTAGGTATGTGTACAAGTGTCACTTATTCAATCAAATCAAACATGTTGTCAAAAAAATCAAATCAAACAAAAAATAAGGGAGTAAATGGTTAATTTAGCCTACCCCCTGCAAGTAGAAAAGGCACAATTCAATAGTATATACCTATGATGCTTATTTAAACTGATATAGCATGTATTTGCTGAACAAGTATAATGATTCAACAGCATGTGCTATAACAGAAATTGTATGCACAACATACATGAGCAGAAGAATGAGATAATGCTGCAACAACTGTGTTATCAAGTACATCCTTGAATTCAGCTGGAACCTGCAGGATAGTACATATCATGTATTCATAGCATTAGTAATAATGTTGACCAGAAAGAATTTGAACATTTCCAGAGTGAACATAATGTCAAGTGTAGTAATACATATACATATTCCATATAGTATATATACTTGTACATAGTTCTAGACTTCTAGTCCACAATGGCCCATATGGCCCAGGGCCCAGGGGAGAACAGAAAAGGAGAAAACAGATCCTACTCGAGCAGTTTGATAATTTTAACAAATTTGCTGAAACCAAGGAGGTTTCAGGCCTTGAGTGGTAACGAAGACAGGAATAGGAAACTGGGCTATAGACAGTCTATCAAATGGAAGAGATCTATTGGCAACAAAGGGTTGGAAAGAACTGGATCGTCAAAGGAGATTCTAACTCAAAATTCTTCCATCTTTATGCCAATGAACAAGGGTTGATAAGGGACCAGCAGGAGATAGTGGACCATGACCATGTGGTTTCCTTCTATAAAGATATATTTGGCCCTAATAAACACTTCAACCTACACTTGGCGCCAACCTTTTGACGAGACCACTCCTACCTTTCCCTACTAGAGAAAAACTTTCTGACAGAACCTTTCAATTATGAAGAGGTGAAAGAGGCGGTCATGGATATGAAGAGGGACACAGCCCCAGGACCAAATGAGTTTGGCGTATCTTTCTTCCAACATTTCAGCGAGCTTGTTAAAGAGGATTTGATGAATATGTTCAGGGATTTTCATGGAGGCTCTCTAGACATCACCGTTCAAACTATCGAGTAATTACTTTGGTCCCTAAGGTCAAGGAGGCCAATTTGATTAAGCAGTATCGCCCATCTGTTTGTTGAATGTGCATTTCAAGATCTTTACCAAAGTTCTGACTAATAGGTTATCTAAGTGTGCTAGGGGGGTGATTGGACAACACCGAACCGGGTTCATTAAAGGCATAAACATCCTTGAAGGAGTGGTAGTGTTACATGTGGTCATTCACGAACTAAAATCAAACAGGAAACAAGGTGTGATCCTGAAGATTGACTAGAGAAAGCATACAACAAGGTAAGATGGACTTCCTAGAAGAGGTCATGAGGGGTAAAGGTTTCCCTGAAACTTGGATAAACATCATAATGGACACTGTTACGGGGGGTAAAGTCTGCATCAATGTTAAATGGTAGCAGAAGCCCTTTTTTCAAAATCTTCAAAGGCCAAAGACATGCTGAACCTCATGGACGCATTCCACCTCTCTCCCCTCTGCTTTTCAACTTAGATGCTGATGCCCTCAGTGTGATGTTGGAGAAAGCTGTACATCATGGACGCGTAGTAGGCATTCTTCCAGGCCTTATCGCGATTAATCGTCCTTATCGGTACCTAGCACTCGATTAGGCCCTCCTATTCGATCAGAGCGATCAGAAACCTTATCGTCCGATTAATCGTCGATTAATCGCGATAAATCGTCCTTATCGGTGTCTTAACCGATCAGCACGCAGATGGGCTGCTTCAGCAGTTCAGCTTACTGGGCTATATTTGTTTGGGCTAGGCCCATTAGGGTTTCTCTTTTATACCTCTCCCCCACTCTTTCTCTCACCTCCTCAGTCCTCACTCCCACTCTCCAGCCGTCCGCTGCTGGGCTGCATCTCTTCCTCTCCATCCTCACTCCCTCCTCCCTTCAGGTTCCAATCCAAGCTGCCCGTCCGTGCATCTTCCCTGCTGCATGCTGCTTCCTCCTCCCTCCCGCAGTCCTGCTGCTTCCTCCTCCCTCCTGCTGCAGGGTCGCCAATTCTCTTCCCCACTGCTGCTGGTCCAAGGGAGCACGAAGATATAGTCTTGATGCTTGACGTCTACTATATAAGTATATAGTATATGGTATATATACCATACATATATGATATATAGTCCTGCTATATGCTGGACGATTAGACCGATAAGAGGTCGATTAATCGTCCTTATCGTCGATTAATCGTCCTGATCGTCCTGATCGGTACCAGAACGATTAGGGACGACAAGCCGATTTAAAAACATTGGTTTTGAGTGGAGACTGGTCTCAAAATAAACTTCCACAAGAGCGAAGTCTATGTTTTTTTATATACACAGGAGGATAAAGAGAATTGCAAACATGCTGAACTGTCTTCTAGGCAATCTCCCAATGAAATACCTTGGAATCCCTATCACTGACCATCATTTGAGCATTGCTGCTTTCTCCGGTATTTTTGATAAAATGATGAAGAGACTTGACCCATGGAAGGGTAAGCTCCTAACGTTGGGTGGCAAGCTCATTTTAACCAACACATGCCTCAGTATCCTACCGATATACACTCTGGGCTTTTATCAGCTTGCTGGAGGGGCTCACCAGAAGATGGGAACCATTAGATCCAATTTCTTTTGGCAAGGAACCGAAAATAACTTTAAGTACCTTATGGCCAAGTGGAAATGGTCACTAGACCCACCAAGGGGGTCTGGGGATTATTAACACTAAGCTCATGAGTCATGAATGACTCTAGTTAAATGGATTTGGAAAATCATGCAAGGAAATGTGGTATAGAATCCTGGAAGCTAAATACATGCATGATGGTACCTTTTTCAAGTCAAGACAGCTAGGTTCCTCCCAGTTTTGGCAAGGTCTTCATAAAGTCAAGCATCTCTTCAAATGGGGAGCCATCTTCAGGATGAAGAGTGGCAAGAAAACCTTCTTTTGGCAGGATGTGTGGCTAGATAATATCCCTCCTAAGCAGAAATATCCTGATCTCTATAATATCTGTGAGGACCCTTTTGCTACGGTGGCTGAATGCAACTATGAACACGGATGGGAGATTGGCCTGCATAGATATTTGTCTCAACGTAACCTTCCCCAGTGGCAGGAGTTGATGAATCAATTACAAAGAATTCACTGACACCCGAATGCAAAGGATGAGGTGGAATGGGGTCTGGACAAGTCCAAAGCCTTCTCTACCAAATCACTATACATGTTTTAACTGATGGCGGGGTGTGCTCTAGAACTGCCCTAAATATTTGGAAGTGCAAGGTGCCAATGAAGATCAGAGTGTTCCTCTAGCAACTCTTTAATAATAAACTGCAGATGGCTACAGTCCTAAAGAGGGGAGACTGGAAGGGCAGCGAGAAGTGTTATGCGGAGAATTAGAGAACATCGATCACATCTTCTTTAGATGACACATAGCTAAATTTGCATGGTGCTGCATTAGGGATACATTTGGTTTTGACTCTCTTCCCGCTTCCAGATCAAACTTCATAGGAAGTTGGCTGGAAGACAAAAACCTCCTCAAACAGCAATTTTGAGGAACCGCAATAAAATGGCGATTGATAAACATTTGATAAGTAACCACTCTGAAGTGATATACAATGCTTTATCCTTGCAAAATGGGTGGTACTGCTCAAGCCAAAGGATCAAGGATGGAAGGAATCATGGAGATGGTCTGGAAGTGGCTTAGTGCTGACTGGCCAGCTGATAGCTCCTACTCAGACATTTAGGAAATATAAGACTGTAATAGGCTAGGCTGCCCCGTGCTTTTGTTCTCTGTGTTGACGCTGGTAATCCCAGCTTTGAGTACCGAATCTTATTGCTTACTTAAAAGCAGAGGAAACTCCTTTTAAAAAAAAAAGGCCCATGGCCCAGGTGGCTACTGTACACAGGTATATGTATATGCAAAGACTCTAGAATGAATAATATCAGATATTTCCTCTTACATTTGAGCTTCCTCTAGCACATAAAACATAGACATGCTCAAATTTATTTAACTGGAAATGCACTCAGTATTCTACAAAAATACTCATGCGAGCAGGCTTATATAGGTCCTGGTGCATACCCATAGCCACGCCACCCCCATCTTAGACATAAGCCAATTAATATTTCATTTGTTTCTAAGTTCATTCATAAGGGTTAAAGTGAATAAAAACATAAGTTAGAAATAAAGGGGGTTCTGGAACACAGAGTGAATCATATAAAATTTTTCCTATGGTGCCAATCAGATTCTAAATATGAGCTCAAGCACGTAATGAAGTTCTTTTGTTAACTCCAAAGCAACTTTACTTTTTCTCTCTCCTGCTCTGCTCTCTTCAATCATGAAAATTTCAATCAAAATTCTTATAGTACACCCATTGATCCAAATTCCAATCCACCCCCACCCCGCACTTTTCAGTTCCTGTGAGCATGCACTATGCATGACAAATTGGCAACTTCTCATCCAGTTATCCTATTCCTACTTCTTCAATATACTTCCAATGAGGCCCCAAAATGGATCATATATAGATCTAAGATTTGGTTTGGATTACTCAAGTAATTATTACTTAAAGAAGTGTACAGTGTATTTGGAGGTAAGTAAGAATTATATCCGATCCTCCCTCCCTCCCAAAACCCACTGTGTGCATACAATGTTGGGACGCACCAATCAAGGTCCTCGACTTCAGCTGCCCATGTCACATTGTTACCCATTGTGCTCCTTACACACAGTAATTGGACAGGTTCTTTCTAATGGAGGTTGCAATAAACAGTGAAAACACCAAACAGAGTACTAGAGTTCTGTAACTGCAAATACCTCACCCACGCTTCTCAACAGGTAAGACAAAATGCGTAGTGTTGCCACTCTCATCGGAGCTGTGTAGTTCGAAGACTCCAGCTGTACCAGAACTGCATATGTAAAGTAGTAATCTCAAATATTTCTTAACAGTATATGACTAAAAGGAATCTGCCATACCTTTCTTCCCAGAAATACCAAAAATTCACGTTGCGTCGGCTCAATCATCTGATCCGCGACACCAACTCGAAGAACATAAAGAACACATGCCTAGTATTTACATAATGAGCAATCAGAAACCTTAAATTCTAGAAAATAATAAGACATACGACCACTGTGTCCAACCCCATGTACGAATAAACATCTGTCTTTTGCCTTGGGCCACATGAGGTGCTAATGAGACCTGTGATTGTTGGGTTCAGTGCAGTCATACACGAGTCATAAAAACCCTTTGAACGCATAGCACAATTCTTAACCTTATGGAATTGTCATGCCATAAAATTTCCTTCCTCGTTCTGATTATTTTCTCCTCAATAAACTAAATTTGCCTATCCAATACTAGTGCCAGAGACGTTAAAGTGTTATTTCCACCATACTCTTCTACTGATGAAAAATGTTGTTGCTCAGGTGACTTTGTGCATAATTCATTCAAAGTTTCAAACCAATAATAGGATAACAGTACATGGATTAAGAAATCTTAGAGCAACAGAAGAGGATACCAGTGCATGTGGATCAGGGGAATCATTCCCTTGGAGAATTTCCATTGCTTGTATGGCATAGTTTTGAAGTTCGCTATCTGGGGTGCCATACTTCATATGAATCATCTGTGACAAAACCATTGTAAATAAAGGAGCAAAATGAAATGTGAATACATCATAAAAGCAAGCCAAACTAACTAAAGGGCGTACCCAGTGCAGAGAGCTCCCGCTCTGTATGCGGGGTATGGGGAAGGGTGTCAGTGGCAAGCCTTACCCTCGCCTGTGCAATGCGAGGAGACCGCGACTCGAACCCGGGACCTTCCGGTCACAGGCGGTAAGACTCTACCGCTTGCACCAGGCCCGCCCTTCCAAGCCAAACTAACTAATCTAGACAAATATCAAAAGTTCGAAACATAAAAGAGTTTATTATGCAATGAACAAAACCAGCACTTGGCTTGCATTTATACCATCAAATAGCTCACTTTGTGCCCTTAACATGTCCCATGTTACTAATTAATTTGTTTTTTCAGACTTTTGCTCTTATTCTCTTTCATACTTCCAATATTAGCTCCTCTATTTCTTAATAAAACTTTTTTTGAAACAATTTCTTAATAAAACTTACATGCAGAAAGAACACCCATGATAAAGCCAAACCAATCCGGAGTTTCTTTGCATTAGCTCCATTTGCTGCAATTTGAAATCAAGAAACAATCGGCTCAATGCATATAAGAACGGATATTTCATAGACATCGAAGCTAACTTGAGCAATGAAGGAACAGTCCCTATAAAGAAGTTTGTAACATCATTCAAGGGGTAACATAACACATAGACTCTAAACATAAGAGAACACATAGAAGTAAGAGAAAACAAGGCCCAGGTTCCAATCTTCTCTAAGGCTGATGTTAACCTTCTACTTTCTTTCTTGACAACCAAAGCTTCTTGTGGCGCAACAGTAGAGTAATGAACTCCAGGGATCAATGAAACCCCTGTAACTGGCGGTGTTCAAATCCAAGCTACTCTTCTTTAGGAAAAAAAATCGGGAGCATGTCTCTCCCTCTGGTTTAGTCTTGCTTGAGAATGGTGATTACATTAGTCAACATTATATAGAGGAACACTCCTAAGAAACACAGGTACAATCAATCTAAATAATAACCTATTAACTAACAAACAAATAAGAAACCAAATAACTAACTGGTGTCATAGGAAAAAAAATCTTATTATACAACAAATTGCCAACCTTTTTGTCCAATAAAAGGCAGTTAAAAAATTCTGAAATCAGTCCAACCAGAATTAGCCAAAGGACAGGGAAGGTTCCCATCAAGGAGGTCACAAGATCATGTGCCAAAACTGGACGTAAATGAGAATATATCAATGTAAGATAACCTATAATGCTTAAAATATTATTTGTTGGATTTAAATTTACTCCCTCCGCCCTGTAATATAGTGCATTCAAGCATTCAAAAATTGTACTCAAATACAAGGGATTTTAGAGGACAAGAGCTAGTAGCACAAATGGTTTGGTTGCTATCTTGACTAGAAGCAGCAAGGAAAGTGCAGATAGGAAGGTGCATATAATGGAAAAGTTGAAAAGAACAAATTAAAAGCAAGAGATTCATCATTTCTCAGTTTCCCAATAACACATGAAATTAATTCAAAATTTTCATTCATCGGTAATCCATATCCATATGTAAACCTACCTTTTTCATGGAACTACATTGACAATAACAGTCTGGAACTCTGGATAGCCAGCTAAAAGCATTACCCCAAATTATATTTAAAAAAGGGCGTACCCAGTGCAGAGAGCTCCCGCTCTGTGCAGGGTCTGGGGAAGGGTGTTAGTGGCAAGCCTTACCCTCACCTGTGCAATGCGAGGAGACCGCGACTCGAACCCGGGACCTTCCGGTCACAGGCGGTAAGACTCTACCGCTTGCACCAGGCCCGCCCTGCTACCCCAAATTATATTTATTATAAAGAAAATAATGTATGCACCTAATGCGGTTCATACTAACATTCATAACAAGATTGGAATATGGTAAACAGCAAACGAAAGGATCAATACCCATTTTTAGAGCTATATGACATTTGATGATAGACATCAAGTTAATATCTGATTTCAGACATACTCAAAAGATCAGTAAACATATAACTTCAGACATCTCCCTATCTCTCTTCCAAAATACTCTGACATTAGTTTCCTTTCTGAATAAAGGTTAAACTATAGAAAATTGCAGCATTTGAGTTGAGTTACAGGAACAGCCATTCATGTAGTTAGATGTATTGAACTATACACAAGGAGGACAGAATTTTGTTTCACCTTTCACAAATGGCACAATCAAATGCTTCTGTACACCATCTTCAATTTTCTTTGCAGAAGCAGTTTGTTTTTTCCCACCTTTCTTCACCTATCAAATAAGCTGGTATCTAAATCGTAAAAGGAAAATGGTTAAGAAAAATGTGAGAATTATATACCTGGGCATCTGGGTTCACTGAAAGAGCAAGTATGGCACCAAGTGCTTCGGCAAATGAATCTCTAACTGAAGATACACTATCTTCCAAACCCTGTGATAAAACGTCAATAAAAGGAACAGATTCAGCATACGCTTTTCAGCTAGCTAAGCCACATTAAACATGAGAAAGAAGGTAAATAAACAATACCTTCACACAATAAGACATGGAAGAATCGAATTCAGCCATCCCCAACGCAGGCCCACCAATATTAGCAAATGCCTTCAAGCACCGTGCTGCCGCTACTCTGACAATGAATGATTTATCACTTACACCTCCTCGCATGATGATACGGAAAGCCTCCTGATAAGCTGCAGCAGCACCACCACCACCAGAGCCTTCCAATGCATTCTCAAGCAAGAGAAGAGAATCTTGTCTCACAAAGTCCTGACAAATTTGTTTGAGAACACTGTCAGAATTCCTTTTAGGGTGTGATATACAGCACAACTCAAGCCAGCATAAATGTATACAATGTCTTGGTTTTTTGTTATACTGCACAGGTAAGCTGCACTTGGTAAGGTTGTGTTTAGTAGCTTATATTGTGTTGCATGTAGACTATGTAGTCATCTCCATGTTCTAGTAGATATCTCATGTTCTGGTAGATGTGGGGAAGTGAGAAGATTTCATTTTTGTGTGGTTCATCAGCATGTCCAATTCTGCATTGCCTGATACGACCAAATCTTCCGTACTAGCTAATGTTGCACTGGACCTGCTTTGAGCAATGTGCAAGCCTGCATAAAAGCCACTGCATTGAACCAAACACGGGTAAATTGCACTGCACACGTCGGGATATAGGCTAATGCATGCAACCAAACATACCCTTATTGATAGAAAATGAATTGGACCCACGAAACACCAAAATGGAAAAGGCAGATGTCAACAAGCAATAGTTCAAGAGCATCAGAGATTGTTAGAGATTAGGAAAAAAAGCATCTAACAAGAAATCGAAAGGTACACTATTGCAGCAATTTCCCGGCTTATAGTCATCATCGTTTCTTGATACTCAAATAAAGATTTTCCATATATCTAAACCAAAATGAAGTATTCCAAAATAATTTTTGAAAAAAAAAATACATACAAAGAATTGTGAATAGTTAGATTTACTAAAGAAGACACAAGAATGAGTAAATAAAGAACACTAACAGAATCACAGGTAAAGCATACAACCTCATGATACTTCATGAGTTTAGCTACAATGCTTGATGTCTCAATCAGCCCTGCAGTAATCTTGCGTCCAAATAAACGGTAAATTTCCCCCAGACATTGTGCTGCACCTGTTTGGAAATTATCAAGTGCTGTTAAATTATTAGAAAAAGAAGAAATTATAAAAACAACTAAGCTAATCACTCTGATGCTGCACATAACAACAACAACAACAACAACAACAAAGCCTTTATGTCCCAAACAAGTTGGGGTAGGCTAGAGTTGAAACCCAACAGAAGCATCTTTTGAGGAGCTTTTACATGTTAGCAAAATTGGTTTGCTATACTTGGCTAGGGATTGTAAATGGTAACTATAAAAAGCTTATACCCCAGACTTGGTTCAGTCCAGGGCTTGCCAAAACCTTAACACAAGACAAAGGGAATTTATATGTTCAAGTATCCTTAGGACTCTCATGTACCAGTCAAAACCCAATTCCATACTGAATAACCTTAAGCCTTGGCAGCTAAAAGCAATCAATTGAACACACTTTCTGTCTTCACATCTCTGACCCATTTTATCATTTCCTAATCTTTCACTATGACAATAGCGAGTTGAGAGGAACCAAATGTGACCTCTGCCTCTGAGTTTGTCAATGCCTAATTCAAAACAGAGTTATGATGAACTTACTAAGTCGGAAGTTATTTCCACAAGGACAGCTCAGGACATGCACTGATCTCCATTATTGAAGGTTCTCAATAAGGCCCGTACAATGAAGGGCCAAAGGGTACAACAAATTCATGCATATTTGTGTTAGGATTAATCTTGTCATATGGGCATATTAGTGTTAAACATGCTTGTATAGGCCTAGATGGCCCCTGGATAAGAGAGCTACATGAAGACAGTAGCTTTGAAGTTTGTAGTACTAACTAGTTGTTAGTTGAGTCATTGTAGCACGTCGTTCACTGTAGCAAACCGACTACAGGACTATAAAAGTGGCAGCACCCTTAAGGTTGTGTAACAGAAGTTGAAGCTATGTGAGCTAGATAGAAATGTAGTGTGTGGTTAAGTTAGTAGTAGGCCTTGGTTGTGAAGATCAAGCTATTGTGAAGCTTAGATGTGATAGTAGTAAGCAACTTAGCTTGTCAAGTTAGTAAGTTCTTGATTGTGAAGATCAAGTGAGTGCTTGGTTGTGAAGACCAAAGTAAGTTGTAACCTTTTTGAGTGAAGCTATAAGATTAGTGTAGTACAAACTTGTGTTACTAGCTACTTGTGTTATTGAAATTGAGAATCAAAGTGATTTTGTTTCCAACAATTTGTGTATTTAGAACTGAAGTTTGAAAATGTGAGCCTATTAAGGATAGCCTACTCCTGAAAAAAAAAAAAAAAGGGCGTACCCAGTGCAGAGAGCTCCCGCTCTGTGCGGAGTCTGGGGAAGGGTGTTAGCGGCAAGCCTTACCCTCGCCTATGCAATGCGAGGAGACCGCGACTCGAACCCGGGACCTTCCGGTCACAGGCGGTAAGACTCTACCGCTTGCACCAGGCCAGTGAAAATACTTGCATCATCTAAAGGCACACACAAAACTTATGTCTGATGAGTAAAGCAGCAACAACAACAACAACAAAGCCTTTAAGTCCCAAACAAGTTGGGGTAGGCTAGAGTTGAAACCCAGCAGAAACAATGAAGGTTCAGACACGTGAATAGCTATTTTCCAAGCACTCCTATCTAAGGCTAAGTCTTTAGGTATATTCCATCATTATCTCCATTAGAATGGCTAGATTTAACGTTGGCTTGCCACGCCTATCACAACCATTCTTCTTTACCAGGGCTTAGGACCTGCTATGTTGAGACAACATAGGCGGAGTTTGATGAGTAAAGCAAGTTTTTTTTTGGTAACAATCTCAGTTCTTTCCTTCATTCTTTGTTTTCATACATGATACATAATCTTTCTCAAACTTTAGCAGTAGTCCTATTACCAGAATACCACCCAGCTATGCTACTTGGTCCCTACTGTGCTAATCATGTTTAGCAAGAGAAAGAGTTACTTTCAAAAGCAGCAGCAACAACAACAACAACAAAGCCTTTAAGTCCCAAATAAGTTGGGGTAGGCTAGAGTTGAAACCCATCAGAAGCAATCAAGGTTCAGGCACGTGAATAGCTGTCTTCCAAGTACTCCTATCTAAGGCTAAGTCTTTGAGTATATTCCATCCTTTCAAGTCTCCTTTTATTGCCTCTACCCAAGTCAACTTCGGTCTTCCTCTGCCTCTCTTCACATTATTATCCTGGCTTAGGATTCCACTACGCACCGGTGCCTCTGGCGGTCTCCGTTGCACATGTCCAAACCATTTCAATCGGTGTTGGACAAGCTTTTCTTCAATTGGCGCTACCCCTAATCTATCACGTATATCATCGTTTCGAACTCGATCCCTTCTTGTATGACCGCAAATCCAACGCAACATACGCATTTCCGCGACACTTAGCTGTTGAACATGTCGTCTTTTCATAGGCCAACATTCTGCACCATACAACATAGCAGGTCTAATCGTCGTCCTATAAAACTTGTCTTTTAGCTTCTGTGATACCCTTTTGTCACATAGGACACCAGACGCTTGCCGCCACTTCATCCACCCTGCTTTGATTCTATGGCTAACATCTTCATCAATATCCCCGTCCCTCTGTAGCATTGATCCTAAATATCGAAATGTATCATTCCTAGGCAGTACTTGACCTTCCAAACTAACATCTTCCTCCTCCCGAGTAGTAGTGCCGAAGTCACATCTCATATACTCAGTTTTAGTTCTACTGAGTCTAAAACCTTTGGACTCCAAAGTCTCCCGCCATAACTCCAGTTTCTGATTCACTCCTGTCCGGCTTTCATCAACTAGCACTACATCGTCCGCGAAAAGCATACACCAAGAGATGTCCCCTTGTATGTCCCTTGTGACCTCATCCATCACTAAAGCAAACAAATAAGGGCTCAAAGCTGACCCTTGATGTAGTCCTATCCTAATCGGGAAGTCCTCCGTGTCTCCATCACTTGTTCGAACTCTAGTCACAACATTGTTGTACATGTCCTTAATGAGCCCGACGTACTTCATTGGGACTTTATGTTTGTCCAAAGCCCACCACATAACATTCATTGGTATTTTATCATAAGCCTTCTCCAAGTCAATAAAAACCATGTGTAGGTCCTTCTTCTTCTCCCTATACCGCTCCAACAATACCAATCAATTTTTCCCTTGTACTTCCCAACATATTTACTTCTCTGCTCATTCAATAAGCAAGTTGAGCTGAAGTGCTCACAGCTTCGAGGCATTCTGGAAGCTGTGGACTCATTAGCTGTACAAACAAATATGTTGGGAAGTACATATTTACTTCCGCAATGGATTAAGCCTGGGTTGTCCATGACTGACCAACCACAACCTGATACATTGTAGGAGTGCATTGTTAATGCACATTTTGGAAGATCAGTTGATTGATCCAATACAATTTCACTTTGTCGTTAATATAATGCTGAATAGATGAATTCTAAACAGATGGTACGATTCAAACAAGAAATCTAGAAAGATAAATTTCAATTCCTAACCTGCACATGCAATGGCCTCCGCCCTTTTCACATCAACCAACCACCCCTGCAAGTTACTTGCCCTTGAGTATACAGATATCACATCGCCTTTCTCAATAATCCGGCCCATCGCTGATGACGCCAAGCGCCGAACTGGGCGCCGAGCCCCAAGGACAAGCAAGGATTGGAGAGCATCCTCACATTTCCTTTGCCAAAGTTGTATGGTATCCTGCAAAGCACCATGAAAACACACAATTCAACATCATTATTACTCAGTCTGTCATCCAATAATAACTCAGATGGGTGCATGGGCCCAGATCATTTAGCATGTCTTTTTCCTCTGTTGTCCCCCTTCAACTACAGCTAAATGCAACCACATGAAGGGTGTGTTTAGTTAGAGGAATGAGGTGGTCCATCTTTTTCTCACTCTTCACTTTTTTTGTTTGGTTTGTGAAATGAATGGGTTGATCCATCACTACCTCATTCCTCACCTCACAAGCCAATAATAATTAGTATATGCACGAGGAATGGGTTGATTCCACCATAATTCATGGAATGAACTCGTGATGCACCATCTCATGAAGCATGGGATGATTCCGCAAACCAAACACACACACCCGAAGAGAGCAAACACACACACCCGAAGAGAGCAAGTTGTTAGACTAGATAGCACAAAACAAGGAGCTGCCATTTCGATGAGCAACTAGCTATAACCATGGGGAGGGAACCCGCACAGGGGCAGGGATAGCGACAACAGCAGACGTGCAGCGGTGCAGGCGCGCGCATTGCCCTAACGGGAGAGATCTGCGCTCCAGGGAATGATGTCAGGGGGCAGTGGGGCGGACCTTGGGGGCCTCGTCGATGGCGGAGGAGAGCTCGGAGAGGAGGTCGAAGCAGAGCAGCGCGTCGGGGGTCTTCTGCCGGGCCGATGCCACCACGGACTCCAGCTGGGCCACCAGCGCGCCGAACCGCGACAGCGGTATGGGCTCCCCGCCGCCGACGCCCTTCGCCATGGGAGGGCAGGGGTGGGAGCGGGAACGCGTCACGGGTGCTCAGGTGTGTCGTCTTGTTCAACCGAGATCTGGGACTCGCGGTGTAGTAGAGCAGGTTACGCTGGACTCTGGCTTCACCGTAAGCACTGTAGAGCTCTCTGGTAGTGGATGGAATTTGGAGGCAGCGCTGACACGATCCCTGGTTCCATAGTACTGTACGCACGAGGCTCCGATCAAACACGGCGCGGGATCGAGATCGGCTCCTCCCCTTCCCCTGTCTTGTCGTGCCTACGAGTTGGGGAAGGAAGTGAGACCGTGTTTTAGTCGGGTGAAAGTTAGAAAATTTGGCGATCGTGGTATTTTTATTTTTATTTAGCAATTAATGTTTAATCATAGATTAATTAGGTTTAAAATGTTTGTCTCGTAATTTCTAACTAATTGTGTAATTGATTTTTTTTTCGTCTATATTTAATGCTTCATGCACGTATCACAAGATTCAATGTAATAGCTACTATAGCATTTTTTGAGAAAAAGTTTTCGCAAACTAAACAAGTGCTGAAGAGGACGCCAACAGCTAGACCCGACTCGGCAGGGACTCAAGGGAAAGGGGGCTGGGCTGCCGCTGGCTTGACAACTGAGCCCCTGGGAAAGCAGAGAGTGGACCAGAATTGAGAATTGGAGAAGAACTAAACAGTAACGATTCTTTTCTTTTTTTAAATAAAGAACACAATAAAAACTTTCCTTTTAATTGAAAACCTTAGAAGAAACATTAAGGGGTCGTTTGGATCCCTTTATTTTAGAGAAATTAAAATCTACATAATAGATTAGGCTATTTGCTTGAAATTTGATATTCAATAATATTCTCAAACTCACAAATAAGCCTATCTCAAATTCATAAGTTGGGAGATGGAAATAGATTCTATAAATCATTATGATATAATTCTATTCTCCAACTTATAGCACACCATCAATCCACTTCCTTACACTAGAAATACAATATATAAGTATGTCTCTTGTATGCCTAACAATAAATATACAAATATATTTTATATATAACTATATTAGCTTAATTAATCTATGCATAAATTTTAATTATCAGAATGAATTCAATTCGAGGATCTAAACGGACGATTTCCAAGTACAGAAAAATTCACACAAGATAAACTAAACATGTAACCTAAATGCAACAAACACACTTCCATTAACTTGAATATTTTTATAAACCACATTTCCACTCTTTAAATTTGTAACAAACTCAATAATCTTGATTATATTTAGAAAATAATGAAATTTATTTACTTTATTTATTGTTTTCTAGTTATTTTGAAGTGTGAGTTTGTTTCATTTGGATTGACTACCCTTCATTCATCTTGTAGCATCTTTGGTACATCTAGAGGAGGGTGAATAGGCCCGTAAAAATTCAACTCAAACCAAAGTCAAATTCACCCGCGGTACTACCGCTCCGTGAGTGCGGCACTGCCACACCTGCAGAAGATATTAGTTCATAGTTTAAAATCTACACAACAAAATTTAGATCGGATAAATTCCTTAGCTCCCTACAGGGTAGTAGATCACAGATCGACAGCTGAAAATGGTGGGAACACCACACAACAAGTATATCAGCCTCAATCCTAGAAATCACCTCAACCATAATATGTCATACAAGTAATATAAATTAAGCACAAGTGACATAATGATTTATCCCATTGTTCGGCTCGTCACCAAGGCTTGTCTACCTCCACATTGTTGAGGTTAGCCACTAAGGCTTAGAGATTTCCAGCCCTTCCTCGTTCTCAAGTCAAGAGACTTAACTCTTGAGATAAGGGTGAGTTTACTAGCTTCAAGAGATGGTTACAAACTTCCCGGGACTACCACAAACTTGGCAAGCTCGCTCAGGCGACGCTCTAGCTGGCTAGCAGCCAAGCTCCAAGAGTAACAAACACAACCGTCGGCTAAAACGTGAACCAAGTGTTCTTTAGAGTTTGGAATCAATAGAGTTGTTCTCTATTCACGTTTGGGACTCTTTTCCCTCAAAAATTGATGAAAAAATAAATGGATTTGCTTGGGGACTTGAGGTCAACAATGGAGTGAGAGAGATAGAGGTCATGCTCTATTTTTGAGCGTGTTGAAGTGAAGAAGATGAGAGCAGGTTGGTTGGTTAAAGTTGGCAAGGAAGGGGAAAGGTATATATATCCCCCAGCCCCCAGCGGTCACTTTAAAACACAGATAGCCGTTGGAGAGAAAAGGAAAAGGTATATATGCCCTCCTTTATAGTACGACTTTTTCTATACTCAAATTCAATATATAAAAGAATCTTAAATCTCTTTTGAGTTTGAAGCCATCTACATTTGTTATTAGGGGCTCCTCCGTTTCGTATAGCATCCTCGAATATAAATTTCCTGCTTGTCATCTCGATAAATCTCATTAGTTCTCTAATTGTGTGGTCATTATCACGAAAACCCACAATTAGGGTTTGATTGCACTTTCAATCTCTCCCTTTTTTGTGATTGATGACTACCCAATTAGAGCTTACAAAAGATATGAAATAAATACTGAGATTTTCGAGCTATGGGTGTAGATCCTCCCCCTAAGTATGTGAATAGAGAATTAAATTCTCAAATTGACATAAGAAGCCAAGATTCACATTTTAGTAAAAGTGATGGGGCTCCCCCTACATCCATGCTCATGTGGGGTGCTGCATACTGTGTTAGGTATGTAAAACGTGATGCAAATGACAGTTTATGCACACATGTACTTGTTGTTGTGCGACAGTGCCACACCTGACTCTACGAGCAAGACAGAGTCAAGCACCACACAGCTAGCTCAGATAAGAAAGATATGCAACCTAGCACAATAAGATGACTTCTAATCCAAACAACGATATATGTCCATATCCGATACACAAAGAGCCAAATAGTAGCATTATTTCACAATTTAGAGTTTTGAGTGACTCTCAAACTTTTCACCTAGTGAAGACTAACACTCATCGAATAGGACATGAAGCGTAGCTGCTGCGAAAAGTTGTTCACCCCTCTAATTTTCTCCCCCTTTATCATAAAGCACAAAAAAGAGAGGAAAAGAAGAAAGATCAACACCTACTCGTCATCTCCCTGGATGTCCGTTCAATCAATATCGTCACCTCCTATAGCAGCCCCAACACCACCATCACAATCATCGTCGTTGGAGTTAATACGTGCACGGCCCTGATGGTGAGTAGTGGCGGTGTAGCGAGTGGAACGAGTGGAACGCCTCGGCTCCTGTCTCTGACGGTATCCCTCTAGGGTCTCATCCCAATCTGCTTCTCATCCCTGCTGCTCCTCCTCCTCATCATCATCATCATCATCTAAATCTATGTCGAAGAGACTCGGAAGGTCATACTGTGGAGGAGGTGGAATAGGAGGAAGTGGTGGAAGGTCCTGTCCACGCTACTGACGCTCCTCAAGCTGTGTCTCATACGCTTTGTCAGCTACATAGGTGCACTTGCCGAAGAATGCCTTCAACCACTTGCCAAACTTCTTCATCTTACCTCCTCTACGAGACCTAGAGCAGGAAGACTTAGGGATGTTTACATGAGTATGAGAGCTCCTCGTTCTCTGAGTAGCTACAGCTAGCTGGGTCTTCTCAATTTTATAGATGGTGTGCATCCTATCCTTCAGAAAATAAAATCTAGTGACCCTCTCAATCATGAACATGAGGTAAGGGGCATATGGCAGCCCCCTCCTCTCATCCTCCACTACAAATCTAAATCAGTCCACATGAATTTAGGGACATTGAACCTGTCCCCACCTGGAGCAAATCTAGCCAACACATTTCTCATAAAGCCATTAATATCTGAGGCTGCTCCATCCTTTGGGTTGATGGTGTTCCTGATGAGGTTGTTGAGGATGTAATAGAAGCTATATAGACCACTCCTCTTGCCATCTGCAATCCTTCTATCTCTTCACATGTAACTGATGTCACAGATCTCAGCTCGAGGCTCATCATGAATGTAAGTGTAACCTCTGTGCTCCTCCCCAAAGCCAAGAATCCGGCTAAAAGTGACAAAGTCGATTCGGTAGTACCGATCATCAGTCATCAAGTGAATCTCATCAGAGGTCTGGTCATAGAAGTATGTGGCATGAAACTGTGCAAAGACCTCCTCATTCCAGTTATACTAGAAACCCATGATGTCTGAAAGCTAGAACTTATCATAGATTTTGATTACCTTGTCAAACTCAGGCTCCTTCTCCTGCATCTCATCCCAATCAATATACTGCATCTTGATGATCTTGGTTTTCTTGGATGCAAGAATGACAGTGGCATAAAAGTTAGAATGAAACTTATTTCAGAATCTGTAATCAATGCCCAAATCCTTGCGCACTGCATAGAGATTGATCCTCCTTGCCTCTTCCACCAGCTTTTAACTCTTGGAATAGTTGACAACAGCATGCTGACGGGAGTCATCTAGAGGTCTCATGATAATCTCACCCTCAAAATCTCTCATGTGTCTGCCATCAAACTCAGAGAGATACTGTGGGATGTCAGGAATGGCATCAGTGGTACTACCTGTCATCTTCAACCTCTCCTCATCTTCAATGTATTGCACGTGCCTCCCCTTGTCACCAAGTCCCCTTGGAGCTACACTACTACCTGCTGCTGTTGACCTCCCTCGACCACAGCGAGGTGGATCCTTGTCTCTTTGCTCATTCATCTTCCTTTTCCCCCTTCGATCATTGTCTCCATGCTCCATCTTCTCAAACGAGGAATGGAGAGAAGAGGGAAGAAACTACTGGGGCTAGGGGTAGTAGCAGCCATCAGCGACGTTGAGGGAGTGCTGACAGCTGCTGTGGCACTGCCAGAGATCGGCAACGTGTGGCCAAGCAACGGTGACGGCGCGCGTGCGAGACGAGAGAGAGGCGCGGGCGTCGGTGTCGGAGGGGGGGAGAGAGGAAAAGAAGCTACTATGGACCTGAGAATAAGAGGAAGAATAAATGGGTCCCGCAGTAAAACTGTTTGGGCCAAATCTCGATTGAGATTCAAAG